CGTGCACCGCACGAGGTACTCCTACTCACACCCTCCGAGCTGCCGACGCAGAACAGCTACACAAACGGGTTGTATTAAGCTGATGTCATTGTCCAAAGTACGCGTGAATGATAAGGAGGCGGCGGCTCTTTTACCTGGTAGTAACGGCAGCAAGAAAAACCCAGTAAGTTTCGTTTGTTTACTTTCGGTTCATAAAAAACAAGACAAAGAAAGAAGATAAATGTGAAGAATTACCAGAAATGCTCCGTAAGCTTGGCTAAAAGCCATCAATCGAAAGAACAATGGTATTGTCAAGAAGTGGCACGTTGTGTTTCCTGAGCATTTCTGATGCGATTGACAGTATTGAAATTAAATGTATTTAAAATGCGTATTTATTTATTTTTGAGTATTAGCCTATGTAATTTGTATTTTGCTGGACGTAAAAAACATGTAATTTGTAACAAAATACTTTTATGTATTTAAAAATTTAAAATACTTAATAAAATGTAATTTTAAGAACCTTCATCACCAAGCTTACAGACTTTTAAAAATAGACTATCACCGTCTTTGGCAGTAATCCAAGGAAAGAAGCTGCTTTGGTTCTTGGTGCAAATTGCCTTAAGGAAAAGTATGTAGTAAAAACATCAGTGATGTGCTCTATAACTTGTGAATGAACTTGCTAGCCTGCTATAGCTTGTGGCATTCTAGTAAATTTCAACAGGCAGGCTCAGGCAGTGGAATCTTGTGGTTTGTCATACTTGTATATGGAAGCCTTCATTAGTGATACAGCGCCCTCCACAATTATTGGCACCCCTTGTGAAGATTTGTAAAGAGTTAGAAAAAAAATCCACCTTTTGGTGAAGCAGCTTCAATGTCACACTGAAAATCTGAGAAAAATCCAGCCTTTCATCAACATAAATTTATTCAAAGAAAAATAAATCCTTCATCGAGAAATAATTACAGCATCTTTAATAAAAACACATGTGCCACGATTATTGGCACCCCTGCTTTTAATACTTTGTACAACCTCCCTTTGCCAGTATAACAGCACTCAGTCTTCTCCTATAACATTTTATAAGGTTGGAGATTACAGAGAAGGGCATCTGAGACCATTCCTCTGTACAGAATCTCTCCAGATCACCCAGGGTCCTAGGCCCTCTCTTCTGCACTCTCCTCTTCAGCTCAGCCCACTGGTTTTCAGTGGGGTTCAGGTCATGGGACTGAGATGGCCATGGCAGAAGCTTGATTCTACGGTCAGCTAAACATTTTTGTTTTAATTTGGACATGTGCTTAGGATCACTGTCCTGCTGGAAGATCTAATGACAGCCCAGTTTTTGTTTCCTGGCAGAAGCAGCCAAATTTTGATATAAAATGTCCATAGTGCCATTTACCCTGACAAGGTTTCCAGGGCCTTTGGAGGAAAAACAGCCCCACAACATCACAGAACCTACATCATATTTTGCATTTGGGATAAGGTTCATTATAGCCATCCTTCTTTTTAGTCCAAACCCACTTTATATTTATTGCCAAAAAGCCCCATTTTTGTGTCATTGAATTGGTTCCAGTCAAAGTTGTAGTAGTGTTTTGCAAACTCCAGGTGCTTACATTTGTGGTTAACTGACAAAAAAAAGCTTTTTCTGGCATACCTTCCAAATAATCTGTTAGCCGGAAGGGGGCGTCTGATTACTCCAAGATTTGTAATTCACCAACAGTGATCCTTGGGGATTTTTTGCCTCTCTTATGATTTCCTCCTCACTGTACGTGGGGGAAAAATAAACTTGGGTCCTCTTCCAGGCAGGTTTGTAACAGTTCCAGTTGTTGTCCACTTTTCTATTATTGCCCTAACAGTAAAAATGGGCATTTTAAGGCGAGTAGCTATTTTTTAATACCCATTCCCTGACTTATGAAGGTCAACACACTTCTCCCTCATTTGGTTTGTATGTTCTCTTATCTTTCCCATGTTGACGGATGACTAAGGAAATTTGGGCTCTGTGTCTCCTCATGTTCGTATCCCTGTTAACAAGGAAGTCATGGATTACAGCTTGAAGGTTCCTATTCACTCCACTCAACTCTAAGATGTACAATTTACAGGGGAAACATGCTTCAGTTACATTGTGTTCACTATAATTTTCTGGGGTGCCAATCATCGTGGCACATGTGTTTTTATTAAAGATAATTATTTCTTGATGAAGGATTTTTTTTTCTTGGAATAAATTTATGTTAATTAAAGGTTGGATTTTTCTCAAAAAAAAAGCTGCTTCACCAAAAGGTGGATTTTTTTCTTACCCTTATAACAAATCTTTACAAGGGGTGTCAATAATTGTGGAAGGCGCTGTAAATCAGGCTGGCTTCAAATGTTATGAATAAATAGCTCAGTCCCATTTGCCTGAACAAAATACGGCCTTTTATGGTCCTGAACACACACTATAAATTGTTTATATGAAACTTTCTTCTGTACTGAAAAGAAACATCAAACTTTCTGCATCTGAGCAACACAAGACATCTGTGACATTCCCTGGTAAAATGCCTGCTATGCACAAATTGTGACGTAATACCCATAATGTATGGCGCTGGCAGCTAATTTCACTTTCTCCTGTACCCAGGGCTGGACTTTTCATAGGATGCACATGGATGCCATCATAGGCAGTTCTAAACCCTATTTAGTAGGGCTGACACAGAATAGTCTTTCTAAAGCCATTTAGCAATTTGTCCCAGATTTTCTTACACATTTCATACCCCCAGCTTGGCAAACCTTGTTGTGGCGACCCCCCCTCCTCTAGGCAAATTTAATCATGGGGGTATGACGTCTTGTATTTCTTCAGGATACCAACCCCCAATGGAAAAAAATACAATAACTATCTACTTAGGAAATAACACAAACCCCACCATGCTCGTAAATTGTTCTGTGTAATTGTCACTCACATCAAGAGAAATGTTCCAACTATATTAGGGGTACTCAACTGGCAGATTCTGGACAGAAACAATCATCCCCCCAACCCCCTAATACATTCTCTCGTGCCCCCCACCCCCCCGAAACATTGGCACCAAAATGTGATGAATGTATGGTTACATTGCACTGGTTATCTGTTTACTGATTTACCATGTAATTTGGGAAGAACTGAAAATTTCGCCCCTTGAAAGTTCTCTTTTTCTTTATATATCTGAGCGAATTACTGTCTGAAACCCAAACTCAGTAGAATGTAAGGATCCCAATATTCTTCAAATAAATAAATCAAAGAAAACCCCGTCTCACAGGAAGCAACAGAAGACGAACACACGTCTTATGTAGAAAATGGCTGTATATTTATTGCATAAGGGAAAACATTAAATAAAGCTTTAGAAAGAATGACTTCGACTTATGACTGAATGTTCGAGCCTGCAGAAGTGATGCCAGAAACTACATATATAAACTTAGTAATGTGTAAAAACGTTGTATGGTGAGGAAATAAAGTTGCAACAGAACCATAAATAAAAGTAAGAACACATCCATAAAACCCATATGACCAGCCTTTTCAGGAAAATGGGGACTTGCAACAAGAAACGGTGTAGAAAAGAGTTTGATATGGGGTGGGAATGAAGTGAATCCCCCCCCCTGGTTCTTACACCCTTGGAAATAGATGTGGGCGACTCTGATAACTGGACTCTGTCTTCACTCCAATTACCCTGAATGAGGGAAATAGAGAGAGAGAGAGAGCGAGAGAGAGAGAGCGATAAGGGCACCCAGGAGAATGACACGGTGCACTTGTTCATGACTCGCCAGCTTGTACAGTAGTTTACAGTAATTATGCTCATTGTTGTTACTGAGGCCTTCCTCCCTATGGCTGGATGTGTCTATACTGTGTTGAGCTACAAGGTCACCTCTGATGGCTCCATGGACGCAGCAACACCTCAGGCTAACCTTCTGACAGTCTCCTGCAGTCCTAACGGGGGGCTTGAATATCACACTGCTGTTTTGCTCCTTGACTTATGACAGCACTCACAGCTGCATGTTTCTTTCATGGCTCATTGGCCAGCACTGTAATCTCACATCTCCAAGGTTGGGGGTTCAGATCCCTTAAATCTTCTCTTGTTTTTTGGTCTGTATGTTGCTCTTGTGCCGTGTCAGTTTCCATCCACAATATCCACATTCAGTTAGGCTTCTGGGCACCTCTAAACTATCAATAATGTGTGAGCACATGTTTATGTCTGCCCTGTGATGGACTGGTATCCTATCCACAGTGTACTCCTGCCAAGGGCTGTGCGGAAACTTCTTGAGTGCTCACTTCTAGGTGCTCAAAGCCTTTGATGCCTATATGATTACAATCTACCCTCTCTTTAGTGAAGTGAAGGTGATTAATTGTCATTGTTGACACATCACAGCATACAGTGCTGGACAACCAAATGTGTCCTCTGCATTCATCCCTTTATCTGACATCGTGACATAGCAGGGGGCAGCTAATTCAGCACCTGGGGAGCAGTGCTTGGGGGCGGTACCTTGCTCCTGTTACTTCACCCTGTGCTGCCTGGGATAGGCTCCAGGCCCCCCCCAGCCCCCTGCACCCCCCCATACCTTGTGCTACCTGGGATAGGCTCCAGGCCCCCCCCAGCCCCCTGCACCCCCCCATACCTTGTGCTACCTGGGATAGGCTCCAGGCCCCCCCCAGCCCCCTGCACCCCCCCATACCTTGTGCTACCTGGGATAGGCTCCAGGCCCCCCGCACCACATTGACCAGGATTGGTTGGCCGGTTGGCTGATTACTGCTAGTGGTTGCAGTTTTGTTTTGTTTATGCTTATAAAAAACCATACTGGGCAAAATGTAGGATTTAAATTAAATTAGCTTGAATGACACCAAGAACTCAGTGACATTTTCTTTAATTCCTCTCCAGCGTGCAAGTCCTAGAAAATGATCTTTTTCTAAAGCAATCCTTCCCGTAAATAACTAAAACTGGACTAAGTGCGCAATAAAATGCAGTTCTCCATGCCTAAGAACTAAAACGAAATGTGCCACCAGCTAGAAACGACACAAATTAGAATGAAGCGATTCAACCATTATTTTATATTTAATCATTATTGCACCACTATGCATTTAACAAGGCTCACAAATACATGACTAATATCTATAGGCCTAGCATATAACAATTTCCCAATAGGCCTATAGTTAATTAGGCAACTCCGTATGCCCACTCAGCAGCATAACATAGCCTGTTTTTCTTGTTCTTTCTTATTTTTATACAGACTGACACACAAAATATAGTACGAGCAATGAAAAATATAATACAAAACTAAGATTTTCTTGATTAAATAGACCGAAGTTGAAAGAGAGGAAAATAAACAATATGTTACAAGTATAAATACATTTCAAACGTTCACGTTATTCCATTACGAATTTGTCTATAGTAGATAAAAATTTTACGACGATACTTAAAATATTTAAAACTTCTAACAACATAAGAATCGTAAGAAAAGTACATCGCGTAATTCACAATGCGTTAACTACGAAGGTCAAGGGTAACTTTGCAAAAGTGCTCACGGTGTGATGTTACTGTACATGACGGGGCGTTAAGTCCTTGATAAGAACTGTTATGGAGGTATCTGTGCGCGATGCCAAGCTCTCATGCAGCTCCGTCCATAGAGTCCGACTCCTGAGGCTTTTTGTAGATAACGACCCCCGCTATTCGGGACAGGGACATCCTGGCCCTCATGCTGTACCCGTGGAAGCGCAGGAGGAAATCGTCGTTCCCCAGAAGATAAATCAAGGAATTGATGGCACTGTTCATGCTCGCCAGTCCGCGACTCACCTGGTGGGCGACGTAAATGTCCTTGTACATTTCGTGGCACGTGCCTTTGTTCTTAAGTATCCTCGTCACCAAGTTAAGGTTCCTCAGCACGTGGTAGGGGATGAAGCAGACGGAGAACAGGATGATCAAGATGATGACCAGTTTCAGGCATCGCTGCTTCAGCAGGGCATCGACGTTGGCTCGGGTTGCGAGGACCACCGCGACGTGGCCGTAGCACCAAAGGATGACGAGCAGTGGGATGCCGAATCCAGTAATGGACCACCCGATGCTGTATGGAAGATAATCCCCGATCCGGTTGTCGGCTGTAGTGTCATAGCATGCGTCGGAGGAGTTTTCCGGCGCCTTGTCAAAGCACATGTCGGGAATTATCTGAATCAAGACGGAACACCATACCAACACACTTATCCACACTGAATGTCGGGTTTTGATCCTACCCATCACCTCCATGGTGTGGACGATACCGAGGTACCGGTAAACGCAGATGCATGTAAGGAAGCCGATGCTGCCGTACAAGTTCAGATTGAAGCAGAACCTGGTCACCATGCAGAATGTGTATCCGAAGATCCATTTGCTTTTATTGAAGTAATAAACCACCAGGAAAGGCAAACAAAACACGTAGAGCAGATCGGCAACTCCAAGGTTTAGCACAAAGATGTTGATATTACCAAGTTTCTTCCAGTTCTTCTTCACTGAATACAAACCCCAGCAATTACCGATGATCCCGATAATAAACACCAGAATATAAACGATGGGCAAAAATGTGTGCGTAAAATCCAAGTTTATTTCTGTGCAGTTGACGTTCTTCATTGTGTCATCCAAAGAGTGTTCTTCTAAGAAATCATGCGTCATGGTAAGAAGCTTGTTTTAGTTTGGTTTATATATAATTTCTTTTAGTCATCGTGCGTCTATTTGATAAATACATGAGTTCGTAACTGAAAGCAGGTTGTGCCTTTTAAAGACGAGACTGCTCTCTGGCTGCGTAAAAACGAGCCTGAGACGACACGCCCACGTCGCCGCCGCGAGGTATTTGCTCGCACAAGTTTGCTGCATGTCTGACCTTGGCTTCGCGGGAGGCTGCAGAATCTATGATGAGGTCAAAGAATGCAATAGTTTGATAGTGACGGTCACATAAGACTGGATATGCAAACGTCATGTAAGCAGTCATATTCGAGATCCCCTGAGTTTGCTGGCCCTGGGGTTAGTGACAAAGATCTGGCATAACTAGTTTTGGCTTCGGGCCAGTCAATCTGTGTATGCAACTCACCTTGCCTACACAAATGTTTGAGTCTCTAAATGTATATAGGTTATTGAGCAATGATCAGGAACAGGGGAGTTTCTAGGTATTGAAAAGATCAGGGACTAAGTCAAGTTTACTTAGGGCTTGACTTTTTTTGTTGAAGGAAGACTGGCATCGGGGCTAAAATTCTCTGGGCTAGGCTCAAAATGCTTGGGGCCATAGCTGTCATGAGAGGTAAGGCGCAGACCGGGAAAGCAGACGAAGGCAGGGACGTCACTAGGATTGAAAGACAAGGGGGGTTTATAGCCCCCAGGGTTGTAGGAAGCAATTAGCGCGTATGGAGGGCTGAATTTTTCAACAAACCTAAACAGGCTTCTTTAATTTTATTATCTCATTAATCTAAAAGGCTCCACCCTGAAGAAAACGACAACAACAAAACAAATAATCTCTTTACCTGTAAAGCTCCACCAGTCTTAATCACGCTCCCTCAGCATCAGCTCCCCTGCCGCTCTCCTGCTTCTCCCTCAATCTTTCAAAATACTTTCGTATATCCATCTGGTATATAAACTGAACTTCAGTGTCCCTGTTTTTGCTGTTGTAAAACATATATCCACTTAATGGTAAGTGCCCCTGTTTTTGCTGTTGTACAAGAGCAAAAACAGGGAACCTTATCATTAAGTTTTTGATCACAATAACTAACTATGACAGCACCATTATGTTAGTCTAAATTAGTTTTAAAATAGCCAACAACGTCACTTTCCTTTCACTGACGGAAACTTAAGTAAAGTTAAACAATTAACAGTTATTGACACCTACTCACAATCTCTGACAATGAAATTATCTGGCCGCTTTTTTCTGTTGAACGTTGCTACTCGCTTACAATCAGCGACATGTAGCATCCGCCTGGTTCCTAATGCCCGCATCTACCTATAGCAGCTTAAACAGCCAGTACATAATTTTAATTAAAGAATGATAGCTAGACTTACAGTATTGTTTTTAATAATAGTCTTGCTTCTATTTGTTAAGTTTCTACCTGCGCTCAGTGATATCTTGTATGAAATGTATGGATATATAATTTTTAAATAGTATGATAATTACTATATTTTTAGGGGGGGGGGGGCTTGGGATCATTTTGGGGGGGCTGAAGCCCACCCTAAATAGGCCTAACGACGCCCATGGGCGAAGGAAAAACGAACTGAGGTAAAAGGGATTTAATATGGAAACACGGAGGGCGGACGAGACAGAATCACCATAACAGCACATAACACTACAATGACAGAACTAGGGAAACAAACTCTGACGTGGACTTAAATACACCAAACTAACGAAGACAACTCGAAACAGCTGATTAACACTGGGAATCCACACGAGGTTAACGAGGGGGGCGTGGCACAGGAGTATCGGCACGAGCGGGGTGTGACAATAGCCCCGAGTGTTCGGACCTAAGGACGCCCATGGCTGAAATACTATTAACTGATGAAAATAATGTGAATAAGAGATCCACCAAGACACCATGGCAGCTTAGTCAACTTGGCAAACTTGTGACTCAGTTATTTTCAAACATGCATTATTTATTTTAAAGCTACTTTTCTATTAAATATATCAATACATCAGAAAACGCATGGCAGTTGTGCATTTCAAGATCTGCGATTTTATAAAAAAAAAAAAGTCAAACGTTTTTATTAATGTTAAATTCCAAACATGCATTATATTTGCTGAAGATACTACTGTTTTCGTCCAAAAGTATGTCGTTCAGAGAGCTCGTGGTTCAAGTTGCCAATAGTGTGTGACTGTGTGTGTGACCTGAGTTATAGTATGTTCCACCACCATTCCCCCCCTGCTGTTATTCAATTCAACTGTGCAAACATTAACTATAAAATATATGAATAATAGTTTGCTCAATATTTCATGACTCTCGCAGCATTTATGTTTTGTTACTGTTTTGCATGTTGCTGTGTTCCTCTGCTTCTTCTCTACCATGAGGACATGGACCAATGGTGTGCAGCAGCATAGGGAATATATATGGATTTATTATTAAATATTAAAACTGAAACATTTAGGTAACTGCTAAGTTTTTAAAAAAGGAAGTAAATTATCTAACAAGAAGCACCTGTGATCTGTTTCTCTGTTCATGTCATTAATGTACTGCCTTCACCGCTAACATTAATAACATCACAAAGCACTCATCAGCTAATAGTTAGCTAAATGGTTATATGCACTCGTTGGCCATTAAAGTTAGTTACACCTATGTAGCTTTGGGCAGCGCCCTCTTTTGCCTTCAGAACTGTTTAAACAGTAGATGAGTTGTGTGTTCAGAGAAGCCATTCTGTACACTACTGTACTGAGCTGTTATTTTTGAACTTATGGCCTTCCTGTTAGCTTGAATGAGTCTGGCCGTTTAACTCTCCCTTCTCTCACTGACCATGTGTTTCTTGCCACAGAAATTCCATTGTCTGGATGGTGTTTGTTGGTCACACCATTCTTCATGAACTCTGACACTATACATAATGTGTTCAAATCCCAAAAAGGTGCCTGTTTCTAAGATATTGGAACAAATACATCTGGTGCCAACAATCACACTGCATTCAAAATCACTTATATCATGGATCTTAGCAATTGTAATGCTTCAGCTGAACAGGAAGTGAACCTCTTGACCCTGTCTGTATGCTGTTTTCATTCACTTGCAGTCATATGGTTCACTGTTTGGAGGAGTGGGCTGTTTGCATTAACCAGCAGGTGTACCTAATAAACTAGCAACTGAGTTAATGCATTAATAAAAATAAGTCATGACATAACATCATTACAAAACCACTTGTTTGTTTCCTAAACAGTTACGTGGGTGTTGCGCCATTCCTGTTAATATAGGCACTTTTTCCAATAGGTTAGGGAACATAAAAGGAAAATGTAAAGAAAATCCCTACCATGATTTTCTGTATTGACCCTAGAAAAAAAAACAATCACTAATCCATTCATTATATTCTGTTTTCCCTGTGGACCTGTGACCGTGTAATGGATTTGAGCATGAAGATGGATGGAACTTTTTTGGCTATTGATTTTATTAGTTATTGTTATCAGATACACCCCACCCACCCCTACCCATTATCGTAACCACTGAGTCCCAACTGGGGTTGCGGGGGGCCTGGAGCCTATACCAGGAACAACAGGCGCAGGCGGGAACCAACCCTGGGCGGGCACCAACACGCCGCAGGGCGCCAACACGCCACAGGGCGCACGCACTCACACAGCCACACACACTCACACAACTACAGGGCCAATTTAGACTCACCAATCAGCTTATCCTGTACACGCTTGGACTGTGGGAGGAAACTGGAGTTATCAGATACAGCAAAAAAAAAAAATATTGCTCGTTTTCTGGTATCAGTAATTATGTACTAAAATATCTACCTCATAGAAAAAAAAGAAGTAGAGGGAAAAAGGAAGATGCAGTGAGCAGGGGATCGCAGGGGATCATAGGCGATCGTAGGGGATCATAGGCCATTGCAGGGGATCATAGGCGATCGCAGGAGATCATAGGCCATTGCAGGGAATCATAGGCGATCGCAGGGGATCATAGGCGATCGCAGGAGATCATAGGCG